AGCATTATCTAACCTTTTCTTAGAGATATGATAAACAGGAATAACACTTATAAGTATCCATTTCAATCATGGAAATGCAAAAAACATAAAGCCAATGGAATGGAATCATCGCCGAAACTCACCTAAGTTACTCAACCTAAATAAAATATTTTAACTTTATCGTATAATGCCAACAGTTAGGCAGTGCAGAGTCTATTGATGCTTGATTGCTTTCTACTTACAATCACAATAAATATTAGCTGAATCGGTATTTTCCCTCCTTCCTTTCCTTTTTCGTTTTCCAGTTTGTTTTGAAGTCCATGGTGTCTGTGCAATAGAGTTCTCTTCGGAATTTTACTACAAGTTTCATAATACATATTCGGGATCAAGAAATAACATAACACCACCAAAATCACATGCACCATCCCATGAATCTTTCCTCATCAACAACATCCTTACTTTCCAACACTAATCCTAACCCTATCATGTCCAAAAGCAAATGAGAATGAAGAGAACCTAACAGCACCTGGTTGAAACTAAGACAGAAAAAAAGAGAATGGTCATAAATTTTCACAAACTATCTGTCTAATGCAATGTTGCAGGTGAGTATCTCAAAAATGATAGGAAAACAATAATCAACACATGAAAGCATCAAAATGATAAGTAGTAAAAAAAAAACAAAATAATGTTAATCAGACTAATAGCTTTTAACAGCAATCAAAGCGCTAACTGTTTCTTCTTTGTAAAAACAAAGTTTTTTTTTTACCTAAAGAGAAAGTTAAAATTTTGATTTTTTTAGCTATAACCGAGCATGATCCAAACAAATTTCATCTAATTCCCCCGCAATTATCCATAGAATACAACAAATTAGGGTCTTAATACTGACCGAAAACCCCGGCGACTCCAAAACCCCCGCCGGCGCCAAGAAGCACGGCACCCACCATCGGCACCGTCATAATCGCCGCGCGCTCGTTCTCGCCGTCGAGACGCCATGGCGCCGCGAGAAGCTGCGAGAACGTCCGTTATCCCTCGCCGCCACCGGAGACGCAGAATTCGGCGACGCTAGGGTTTCGGGCGGTGAGGTCACCGGGGGAGGAGCAGGAGGAGGAGGTTTCTGCTTCTCCTCTTTTACCGGGTCTGGATCCCTCGCCGACATCGATTGCGGGTTTCGGATCGAACAGAGAGAGAGCAGAGCACTTGAGAGAGAGAGAGAGAGAGCTTGGCTTGGTGTTGCTTTTGACTCGGATTGACCAAGTAAATGAGGAGAGAGATAGAACAGAGTTGACGGCGTTTGTTCACCGTTAAAATGTAAGGAGAGAAGACTTTTAATTATTTATCTATGATATACTACTGATGAAAGACAACACTCATGCCAAATACTTTTAATTTTCTAATTTATCCTTTTAAATTTTAATAGTTTATAATAATATTATTTTTTTATAATTAATCCTTAAATGATTATTCATAACCCTTTATTAATGCACCTCCTCGTATCCCCCAAAATATTTGGTCAAAAATATAATTATTATCAATAGCTTATAATCTAATGCTACATATAAATGTTTATATCTATATTTAGAATTTTAAAGTGTCATTGCTCACTTTTTAGGCTACTTTAATAGCATGTTGGGGAGAACATTTATCTATATTTAGAATTTTAAAGTGTCACTGTTCACTTTTTAGGCTACTTTAGTAGCATGTTAAGGTTAAACGACTGCATTGGAGGGACATTAATGTTTAAGCCATGGTAGGATCAGAGTTTTGTAGCGACCACCTAAGATAGAATTAGAAAATGGTGCACCTCATTCTTTATAGATTTGGGTCTTTTGAGCACCAGCTACTAATGAGTCTAAAATTTTAGCTCAAGAATATAAAATTATTCCCGATCAGTCACACAATAGTATGAGATAAAGTTAATCAAATAATAATAATAATAAAATGTAGAGTCAATACTTTTAAAATTCAATTTGAATCAATGCGTAAACTATGAACTCAATTAACTAACAAACAACCCTTTTCATTTTCCCTTTATACAACTTCTCTTTTACCTCTTGAGTATAAATTAGCTCATGCGTTGTCTTCCGCTCAACATAACACATACTAAGCCAAATTCATACAATTATGAAAGAAAAGCCCAACCAGAACTCCACTTAGATTAGAATGAGAAATTTAGCAGAGCACAAAATGTCGACTTCTTTCAAGGATCAAATTTGCTCAAACACGTGGTAGTGTGGTATGTTCCTCTGCAATTCAATTCGAATTTTTGAAAGTGTGTTTCGAAACTTGATTGTTGTAGAAATGAGTCAATTTGTTACGATTTAAATTGCTACAGTCAATTTGACGATTAGTTTTCTTTTTAGAGACATTGGTATCAGGCGAATTTAAAAATATATTATAAAATGACTAAAATAAACAAATGTATCTTGAAATCTCATTAGATTAAATAATTTTGAAATTCGGCCTCCTAAACACATTTCATGGTGTATTTTTAAAATATATTATACTAAAGATATCTATGATGCTAATATCATGAAGTAGGGCACGACTAGGAATGTATTATGTTAATGGTATTACCCTTTTGATGTTACTGCTAGAAATACAAAACAAACTTTCTTACTGTGATTTTAGATAGAAAAATTAAATAAATACTATAACAAGCATCATATTTACATACATCCAAAATAAATATTACCTTTTATGATAAATAAACCCTAATTGCTAAAGTGATATCTTCTTAAGCTTTGGCTTTTTACCTTCTAAGTAATAGCTCATTTTTATATGTGACATTTATTATTTATTTATTTCTCTCTCTTCCTCTCCTTCCAATCATCCAACTTCTATTTCTGAGAAAGGAAGTGCTTAGGATGACATTAAAGATGATAAAGATTTTTATGAAAATGTTGTTGATTTAGTGTCAAGCTATGAACTAGCAATTGATGAAAGGCATATGAACGACATAATCAGTCTCTGTTGTGATTGTCATGGAACTTCAACAAGTGACAAGTCATTGCAAGATATACCTCTATCATCCAATCATGTCAACTCCAGCTTTAAATTTAAGAACTTTAGTTGGAAAAGCTCTTATTAATTAGCATTTCCTTAAATATCTTGAATCTTAGTGTAAATTGAGAAAAGATGTATCTCTCATATCCAATATTAAAGCATCTTTTAATGTTGGTAATGTGTTTATAAAATAAGTTTATTCATGCATAGGATTATAATTTTTTTCACCCTATTAATCTATGTTGGATATCAACTATTTAGTAAATTTGGCTCTCTATGTCTATATGTTTTGTTTTAGCTTCAAATGCTGATGATTTACATAGACTTTGATAAGATAATTAAAATTGAAACATGATATGAATTGGTTCCTTACTATGTCCCATTACCCTACACATTTAGGTCCTTCTAGCTTGTTGGTCAATCTAATTACCTAAGAGTCCTAGCGCATAAATCTTTAATTGCATCTTTTATTTAGGTTCTGTGAATATTGGTCAAATCTAAAGCAGCTTAAGCACATAAATAATCGAGAGTTCTCCACAATTCACTTCATCATTTTATCGTTCACATTTAAAATTCTCAACATTAAACAAGTATGCCTGCATGCCACGTGCACTTTACTAGTTTAGATAAATTTCACAATGCTACCATGAGTTACTGCCTTTAATACAATAGGAATGGAGAAAATGTCCACCTCGCTTTCATTTTTGGTCTACCCCTACTATTTCCATTATATATAGTAGCGCAAAATGGCCAGATTGGTATATTTTCTAGAGGCTTGGTGACATGTTAGTATATTTTCTTTTTGTTTTATCAGATTGGTATAAATTGTTGGCTCCGGCGTCATATAGGCCTTAAATTTGGCTGGAGTAACTGTTCCGATCAGGGCTGATGGGATTTTTTTACAAAAATTCCCCTCATCAAATACAATTTTCTGCTCCTAACCCCCCTCTCCCTCCTCCTCCTCATCCTCTTCAACCGGCGGCGACGGCAGGGGTTGATGCGGAGGGGGCACTGCTGCCTGAGTAGCCGAATGAGACAAAATTGCATCTGGATGGAGGAGCGACGAATGGGTGTTGCTGGAGCTGTGGATGTCTATGGCTCGGCTGGAGGGGGATCGGCTTAAATAGACTGCAACAACTTCCTTCGCTGCAGCGTCATATGACTGAACAGATGGTGTGCCTGGATGGGGCACTAGCATTTTGGCACATTGGTATTGTTGGGGGAGGTTGTAAAGCTGATCCGAAGAGGGAGAGTAGGAGGTTTGAGGAGGGTGACGGGGGTCCTGTGCTTTGGCATGCCGCTGATCATAAGGCGCTGGAGGAGCTGGGGGATGGGGCGATGCAGCCATGGTCGTTGGAGGAGGAAGGACATCGGGGTTTGCTGAAGCCAAGATGACTGTTTCGGCAGAAGCTGTGGACATATTTGGAGGTGCATCAGCATGTGGGAGAAGAGTGGGAGCTGATTGAGCGGCAAGACCCTGAGTAACAACGGAAGAGGTCTCTTTAGCATTTCGTCGAACGGATTGTGAGCGATCCTACAAGGCAGGATTCGGGCCTGAAGCTTGGTGCTGGTGGGTGTCCAAAGAGATTTTGGAGCATTCAACATTTGTATGACCCTTCATGTGGCAACCTATACACAATTTGGACACTCTCTCGTGACCAGAGCCTTAGCATACAGTCCATCGACTATTGGGCAGAATCTGAGTGCACAAACGAAAACGCAGGAATGCCATCCGCGCGTGCACAAATGACGTTGATTCCAGTTCGAGGGAGTTGAGCAAAGGAGTCGACGTCGCGCGCATGAGCACGCACGAAACCAGGACCACAAGAGCCCTTTGCCGCTTGGGCATAAGATTGGAGCTGAATAGGAGAGGTGGGGGCGGGGGTTAGGAGTGAGAGCTAGGCGCTGACGGGGGAGGAGCTGGGGCGGATGTGGTGTGCTGAGAACACCTGCTGGGCAGAGGAGGGAAGGCGAAAGCTGGAGGAGGAGTAGGCAGTGGATGTTGAGGCAAAACAGGTGGTGCTACTTGTAGGCTGTCTAAAAATCATAATAGATAGCTTATTCCCCATCAAACACCGATGATGGAAGTTACAATCTGACGACTTCCAGAAGGCTATAATTTGAAGACTTTCACGTAGATCGCTGAAGGTTACAATCTGACGACCTTCACGACAACCGATGAGAGCTCTAGTTCAACAGCATTCACAATAAACATCGGGAGTTATAATCTGACGACTCTCATATTCTCAAGGAGCCAAGACGAAGATTACAAGACAATGATCTTTACAAACGCTATGACAAAAGAGATTACTTGTTGATAATCTCTCCAAAGCAAGACGCGGACTCATCACCGCGCTCTAAGACCAAAACGCAGAGGTCCTCCCCGTGTATCAACACCAAAACGCGGAGGTCCTCCCCGTGTGTCAACAGTAAAACGCTGGAGTCGGACCCGCGTTACAACATCAAAACGTTGGAGTCGGACCCGCGTTACAACATTAAAACGCCGGGGTCAGACCCGCGTTTTTCAATGCCCAGCGGGTACCCAACTCCGCATCTCCAGTCTAAAACGCGGAGTTAGGGTCCTGAACGCCAACGTGGGCGTTTGACTCGTTCAAACATGAGCTGAACGGTTGTAGGAACCGTTTTCCCTCCACGATTTGAGGGATTTCCGCCCCCACTTAGGAGCGGATTAAGAGGGTGGTTACACCCCCCTCAACCCCATTATGGAGAGAATTAGGGGGGGGACGGTTACACCCCTTAATTCTATATAAATATGGGTAAACTCAATTGAGTTCAAGCTGGCATTTTCGGATCTGGGACTTGGCAGCAAAGGGAGAGATCGGCATTCATCCTTTGGAGCATTCCTTGAAGCCTTCGGCCTTGGCTTGAGAACCGATTCTCGGTTCAAATCAACTCTTTTTCAAGAGTTTCAAACTCGATCAGAGTTATCAACTCATCAAGAGTTTTAAACTTGCCACGCAAGTTCTCCACAACGTCAAATCGTGAGGAGAAGACTACGTTCCAGTGAATCAAGACGTTCGGATCGTCAACGGAGAGCAAACTCGACGCGAGCATTCGAGGGAGACACTCCATCGCCACCGTGAAGAACCCAGTTTTAAACAAAGGGGAGAATCAAATTCGTTCTCCTCTCTTTTGTAATCAGGAAATCCAAATTGTAATCGATTTTGAGAGAATACAAGTCAATTTTCTTTCATTGTCTTTTTACATCGAATTTT